CTTATCTAAACCATACTAATGAATAAATCGTTGGACTTCAACAAAAAAATATATGTGTAATGTGCTAACAAATAATATATAACTCTTATATAACTTTTTAGTCACATGTTACTTTTATGTTATATTCACGTTATATAACTGTAACACGTGTGAGTAGGAAATTACAACGAACGTCTATATAACCTACTATATACAAGTTATATTGCATGTTACATTCCGTTTCATTACGGCAATGTAACTGTTATATATCTGTGTTTGTTGGGTTAGGCCGGCACACAGTGGGACGAAACGCCAAATAAGCGAATATTTTAAAATAATGGAATCAATTTGTGTTATAGTGAAATGAATATTGGTACTCGAAAGTTTTCGAGATTGCTAATTTCATATCTGAAATCAAAATGGCATAATTCAAAAAGGCGGATCCAATATAGCGGTTCGACAAAAGGAGTAGTGGTTCAAATCATTTGAAAATTGATACAGTTATGTTTTTGGGGTGAATGAATACAAATATGAGACCAAAATTAAAAAATTCAAAATGGCGGATCGCATATAGCCCACTGAAAATATAAAAAAACTTTTTAAAAATTTTGAAAATTGTAATGCCTACGTTTTTTTAACGAATTATTAATTATGGCAAATGTAATATGGCCGAATTAAAAAATAAAAATTTTCCAAAAGTTCGTAAAATTATACTTTACAAGATGTAAGAGGCTAAAATAAAGAATTTGGGAGGTGAAGAAAAGTAACATTATGAAACATTCATGTACATATATATTTCTATCTTGAGAAATATGTCGAAAAAAAAGTAAAAAAACTAATATACTGGAAATACCATAATCGATTTGTCTATTTTCCCTTACTCTTAGTCAAATCCAGAACCACGAACGAGGACGTGGTGAGGGTCAGTTCCATTTTTTTTGTTATTTTGTTATTTTGTTATTTTTTATTTTTTTATTTTTTTTTATTTATTTTTTTTAACTTTTCGTATTACTCTTTTGTTGCAAATTATACTTTCAGCATAAGTGTTAAATTCATTCAAATTCAACTCTTGGCTCAGTATTTCTAATATTTTTTGAAAGAGAATATTTTCATCAAAACTTTTTAAATTTCTAATTAAGTTGAAAAGATAATCATTGGTTCGTATACTCTCCATTATAAAATAAATTTAAAGAAATGTATTAAAAACGCAAAACTAGACGTAAATCTTAAAACTATCTATATACATATACAAAGTCAATATTAGATGCAATTATCCACTGATTGGTCTAGACCAAGGGTTTACGGTATTTTATTATTTTGCTTCAATGCGGATTACAGCCGAAGGGGGACGAAGTGAGTTGAGAAATGTTCAGACTTTGTACTGTTATAGGTGATCTTCAATTTGGTGTAATTAATTATTTAATCAGTTTTAATAAAAAAAACTATACGGTATTTTTATTATCGTATATATAAAAAATATGAAGCATGAACTTCGACAGAAAGTGAACAATTATATATTATTCAATACAATAGTTTTTCATTTTTTTTTTACATGAAATAGAGCCCATTTGATAAGAATTACACAGCCAAAATATTATTTCGAATAAATATTCACCAAGAGCGAAAGAAGACAGGATGCTAAATATTGAATGGAATTGCGAAAACGCTCTATACTCATAATTTTACATGCCGCTTAAAAATATATCTTAAATAATTAGTAAGTTTGAAAGCGCATTACTATATGGGGAATTTGTTCGAAAATGAGATTTTACGAATTATTTTAGGAAATTCCATATTTTGTTGACCCCAATGTCCAGAATTACGCCCATTCGTCCCACTGTGCGGCGTCCCATGGAGCGGAAATTCTAAGCGGAACGAAATGTGCGGAGCTAGCACGACCTATTACAGCTGTTCCGTTTTCTTCGCGTTGTTTGTCAATTAGCTGTGATTGGTCGCAATGGCTCCACGTGTTCCGTTTCGCTGAGAATTTCCGCTCTATGGAACGCCGATCTTAAGGCTTATCTAGACAAACTAACATAATGGCTACAAAAACAAGAACTTCAGAAAACAGCGATCAGTGAGCAATCAGTGATGATTGGTCTTTATCGTTAGATCTCTAATTTTAGACCAATTGCGTTGACAAATTACTCAACCGTTGTATCACTCAATCGTTGTGCAAACGTTGTATTTTCTAAACGTAGCCAATCATATCTCACACAGCAGAAATACCCGAATATCCCGAATACATCACAAGGATATCATAAAGATATTGAAATATCTTTAGGATATCCCTTGCGACGTTACTCGCGAACGGAAGTTTCGCGAGCGACGGCAAATTGCCGTCGGCTCCCGGACACGCCACTACAAGATTCTCGCCGGACAAGATTCTCGCGAGAGTTGGGCGCCAGGTACGGAAAGGCCGCACCACCTCGATAAACGCGAGAGTTGATGATCGTCGCGAAAAGCGCGCGTCCCGGAACCGTCGGGACCGGTAGCTCTATTAAATTAAAGTCGGAGACGGGATGGGTTGGAGGAGGCGAAATCACTAGACTCGATATGGCTGATAATGAGACGTTTATTCGGGGACTCTCGCACGTCCCGATAGTCGGTATACGAGAGGAGGTCGTCACGACAACGCTCCTCTCGAGACGGTACACTCCGCGAGACGTTACACGAAGCCCGAGGACGCTTTCCTCGGGCGAGCCTTTTCTATTCGCGCGACCACTCCGCGGACGAGACACGACACGATACGATACGATGCGCGACACAAATAAATTTGGAGCAGATGGTCAATCTTACAATTTCGGCGACAGCCCTTGCGTCGGCGGCGGCGTCGGCGGTGACGGCAGCGGTGGCGGTCCTCTCTCTCTCTCTCTCTCCGCTCTCTCTCTTTCTCTCTCTCTCGCTCCACTCCCTCCTCGGTCGCTCGCTCTCCGTCCGCTCTCGCTCCGCACTATCTCTCTCTCTCTGTCCTCTCACTCTCGCCCACTCGTCACTCTCTCTCTGCTCTCTCTCTTTCACACACGATCTGCACGGTACTGTATGCGGACTAATTTTCTCTCTTGGCGACTGATCGCGGCAATGGTCGCGGTAAGGCTGTCAGCTGTTTCTTCCTGGGAGGATCGCGTATCCTCGCGGATCCTCCCTCGTCGCTCCCCCCTCGTCCTGGGGTCGTCGATCGTCGAGAATCGGCAGATTTCGGTAATTTCGTCTCGAGACACTTTTCGTCTCGAGACACTGTTGACATCGGGAGTTCGCCTGTTGTCTCTCTCGACTCTCCCGTTTTTTCCTGCCGCGTTCCTCGCGACGGCTGCTTCGCTACAAGTAAATACAGCTGATCCGTCTGAACGCGATACTGTGTTCGAACTACGATAGCTTCTCAGCGATAGACTATTCTCTATTGCTGAGCGCCCGATAATTCGCGATAATATATTTTAATCACAAAGTACGAGAGTGCGATTCACCTGAGTGAGGGCTTCGCTAATTGGCATCCGCTGCATCCTCCCTCCTCGAGGTCCTCCGCTTCTCGTTGTCCTCCGCTCCTCGTCCTGGTGGCCGGCAAGGGGCGTCGAGGGGCACAAAATTCGGGACGCGCTGACCTTCGCATCTGCTCCGCTCGCAAAAATCGCTTCTTCGCTTTGTTCTAAATATTCACAACAAACAATTCGACGGAACGCGATATTCGGCAAGGTCTCGAAAAACCGTTAGCGACACGGCACGCGACAAACATTCTCGCTAACTCGACACGGGGTTCTTGAGACGGGCGCCTCCACGGCTGCCACGTCACACCCTATAATATATTCGGGACATTTCTGTTGTGTGATATATATTCCTATAATATCGTCTGACATATTTTCACAATATCGTGCAAATTTTCGAAATCCTTTTTCGAATTCCCATATATTTCTTGATGAAGATATCTTTGTAATATTCTGAACAAAAACGTTTCAGTATTATATACAACGATATGTGACGATCCAGAGAAATAACGGATCGTCACGACAATCATTTGAAACATTATTTACATTAAAAATAAATTAACACCGAACAACCGTGCACCGAACAACCGCAATGTCAACAAACAGCTTTGCTGTTTGTTGAAACGGGTATAAAAGCCGACATGAAAACTATCAAGAGAGATTGATTGGAGAGCTCCTCTGAGACGCTCAACCGACCAGAGATCAAAACCTCTCAGAGATCCTAGACCATCCCGCCGACCGAAGTAGATACGCAACGTCGGCATCCTATCCACGCACTGTTCCGTAGACCGAAGTGGATACGCGACGTCGACAACCGAACAATAAAAACAATGATCTCCCAATACGTAGGAAGAGACCACAGAAGCTGGGATGAACATTTAAGCCAAATAAAGTTTGCTTTTAATACAGCTCAAAATGAAGGCACAGAGTACACGCCAGCGTTCTTGAACAACGGTAGAGAGCTCGCTGGACCACACGAACTAGAACGTAAACAAAGCCAAGCCACGACATCAACAAAGCTCCGCGAACAATTGAAAGACGCGTATGAACCGGTAAAAATCCATATGGCTTGTGCGTTCCAGAAACAGGAGAAATTCTATAACTTAAGGAGAAGGTCCTGGAAACCGCAAATCGGAGACATTGTATGGAAACGGGCGCATATATTGTGCAATAAAGATAAAACCATTAATTCGAAATTAGCACTTAAATATATGGGACCACTAACGGTAAAGCGAATCATCTCGCCAGTAATCGTAGATTTAATCGACGAAAACAAAAAATGGCACAAACATACACATACACGATCTAAAACCAGACAACAACGAATAGACAATGTTGCGTCGGAGTATAGGCTCGTCGAAAGAAATTTGTGCGTCGATCAGGATCAGTAATTCAATAGCTTTGTCGGGACAATCAGCGTGAAAACATTGACAATCGCCGACCGCTGCCGCCTCTTTCCCGCCGCTGAACGTCCTCACGTGGAGGGGATGCAGAGAGACGGAAGCATGACGCAGCGACCGAATGATTCATTCTCTCGAGAGACAGCGAGCGACTAGCATAGAGACAGCGAGCGACTAGCATAGAGACAGCGAGCGACTAGAATAGAACAGATCTGTTCGACGTAATAAGCATAGAGATTCAGGATTTCCGTTTTGTCGTCAGGTAAGAGGTACCTCTTTCTCACCCATACACACTAAACGTATTCGAGATATAACCATATTTGGGGACACGTAGAGTCTCCCATACAAACGAAAAGAAGACCTTCGAACTTCTTATATATACATGAGATACCGATATACAATCGCGTAAGGAAGTAAACAACTTCCCCGCTAATAAAAGGCAATTGCCCGGATATTCATTTTTCAGAAACGCGTGCGATTTATTATCCTATTTCACACAAATTCAACCACGAGAGAGGACATTAGCGTTGACCTCCTCGCTACACGGAACAGACAACAAAACTAAATTTTTTGTTTTCCCCCTCCACCGAACAATTAAACAGACCTAGGGAGGGGAATTAAGATATTAAAAAGGTGAGCCAAGCTTAGTGAGGACAGTACGACGAAATCGAGCGAGCCGTCAAGTACACATACAAAATGAAAATCAACCAGGAGCTAAAAATTTGGCTGGAAAACTGGGAGCCGTCTAAAGAACAACTACCCGAGCAACGAGAACATTACCCAAGTCGGTTTTGGCCCGACATGTTAAGGGCAAACACGGCACAGGCGAAGCAACCAAATGAACAAGTCACAAATCAAGCGCCGAGACAACATATCAAAGATCGGAAACAAGGGTATAAAAGAGACAAAACCACAGCCCGAGACAACAGTCCGCAACCATGGATATAAACGAGACAATCGACAACCTGTTAACGACTTGGAACGAAGCAGAGGCCCAGGCCCTTTGGGATTCACTAGTTACGACCGAGGACACGAACCATAATCACGGGAAACAAGGCCAAATGACGACAAGAAAGCTGCCACCAAGGAAAAGACCACTATCGGATAGGCTAATCAACAAACCAAAGCGAAAACCAGCCATCGCCTACCTAAAAACTCCGCCAACAGCCAGGATAGCAGAGAAAAAATTACAAGCGCTGATGAACCAGGAGCAGCAACCAACGAAGAGACATCGACCACACATCAGGCCATTTACGTGGGGCACACAACAAACACCGAATACGGCATCAATGACCATCAAACCACAAACACCCCAACCACCACCAACAACGGACAACAGCAGGCAGGCACAACCGGACCAATCCCGGACACGACCAGCGGTGAAAATCCTCGCGGACAAACGGGTAACACAAAGAATTTGCATAAAAATCCCGACACGAAAACGCTATCGAGAGAGATTGATTGGAGAGCTCCTCTGAGACGCTCAACCGACCAGAGCTCGAAACCTCCCAGAGATCCTAAACCATCCCGCCGACCGAAGTGGATACGCAACGTCGGCATCCTATCCACGCACCGTTCCGTCGACCGAAGTGGATACGCGATGTCGGCCTCCTACCAGAACACCGTCCCGTCGACCGAAGTGGATACGTGACGTCGACATTCTCGTCCTGAACCGTTCTGCCGACCGAAGTGGATACGCGACGTCGACATCCTTGTCCTCACACCACACCGCTAGCGCATAACGTCGCGAACACTTACAAGTCACGAGATATCCCGTGACAAAGATCTCTTCGAAACCGGTCCGGTTAAAAGCTGGTGTCAACAATAAGCTTAAGGCCGCCGAGTCAACGAACTCATACGACGGGCGATAGAACATCGGGAAACAATACCGGCCGCGTCCCGCCGGACGCCCGTACGCCTAGACGCTCGCAGCTGATTCCGCGACGACAATATCGGCTCCCGACGAGAGCAAAAACGCGACCACACACCAACGGCGTAACTTCGCATGTATACAGGGTGTTCGGAAAGTACCGGGACGCCCGAATATCAGGAAAAATATAAGTTTTACAAAAAAATGTTTCAGACAAAAGTTGTGGCGTTTAAAAAGATGTATTTACTGATCACATCAGTTTGACCTTGGGTTGCGTAGCGAAGGTCAGGTCAAGGTCACATTAATTTTTTTAA